CATCCCATTCTTTTCGTTTCTTTTTCAAACAAATGTATATATCAGCCAAACAGCCTTTTACTTGCATTGAGACATGAAGTGCCTAATACATAAGTTTGTATTAGAGTAAATGAGAAATTTACTCCTTAAATTTATTGGTTATAATTATTATGAATTCTTGTTCGTAATTGAACGTGAGGCATATGAACAAAAGACGTGGTAATCTGCCTAAATCTTCAATATATAGCCATACAGTCAATTGATCACTGCTGTGGACTTTCTCTTATGCACCACATAAACCCTAACATGAACCAACTCACGTAGCACGAACAAAAACACCCCACTATACATCATGGTCTGAAATTGAAAGACCTGATTGCACATGATGCTTATCTTATCTTCTTCGTGCCATTTGTTCTCTGCTCACCGGAGATTCTGTCTTCCAGCATGTTCACATTGAGACCCCAAGTGAAGATTATAGAGTATGATATTATACATTAAATAAGTTATAGCAATCTACTGCGTGTAAGGATTTTTGCAGTTGCCACATGTTGACCCATATGTCAATCATCACATAGTTGTCTCGATATTCAATCCATCATATTTTAAAAATATTAGATGAAAGAAAAACAATTCGATCTTAATTATATAATTCATTTGTGTTTTAGTTTTGGAACACATGTACTTTTATGAGATGCAATCTTATTCAAATAAAAAATATTCATAACATGTTGTTGTCATCTCGACAGAAATTTGTTTCATACATAAAATTCAAACATGAGATCTTATTTGAAATAAATCAAACATATCCTGTCTGAGCTAATCATCTATTGGTAATTCAATTATGTTTAATTTTATGGTAACCTCAATAATTGGATGCATAAACTCCATACCTAAACACAGTACATTATTGAACCTTATGGCACACCTCAAAAACCTAACTAGGCAATGCTTTCTGGTATATGTTTAATCACATGAGGTTAGAGAAATGTGTTTTGGAGATTATTGATTCAGTTTCTAACTGTGACGAATTAAATTAAGCTAGCCACGAAATGTTTCATTTTACATTTTAGATACGGAAATAAGAACGAAATTCATCTTTCATTGTTGTAATCCGTCACTAATTTTACCTTTGCTTTGATTTGTTGTAAAAAATATTTAGAGACAAAATTTTGAAATTTATCTCTGAATTATAATTTTGTTAATTTGAAAATATTAGAGTAGAATATTTTCGATATCAAAATGACAAATACTATATTTAAAATTTTAAAAAGATAATTGTCTCTGAATAATCTCTATTTCATAAAATTAATACTTTGTGACCACCTTATCTCGATCCATATCTAAATCATTTAAAATTAAAAGTTTCACAATTTTGTAGATTTAGAGATAATTAATATAACTATTTTGTAATATAAAATTATAACCTGTACTTATCTCTATTTATGTAGTTTTGCCACACACAAAAAATCTAAATTAATGATAGAAATCCATTGCCAAAAACCAATCGTTAGCACTTCGCAATCAATGGTGTCCTTTTTGTCTATTTATAATTAGACCAATATTGTCACAAATCAATAGCATATAGCTTAATAGATACTTGCAAAACACTTATTTGTAATACTCAATACGATCATTTAGATGTCTGCTTCAGCAAACTCTTTACCTTCTGCGAGCCAAGACAAACGGAAGCCTAATGAGAACATAACAACAGTAATTAATCAGTGTTATTATACTTGATGTTATTCTCGGTAGATATGTAGTAAGTTATGTCCTATATTTGAAACCATGAATTTATTAATTTGTAAGTTTCTTGAATTTTCAGATTTTAAATTATTATATACATGTATTAGTGATAATATTAAAAAAAAAAAACTTTAACAATAATATCATTGAGAAAATTATATACTTATCTCATTAACGAAGTGTCATATTTAGAAGAAAAAAAAATTAAAACAATAATACATGGAACGAACTACGTACGTTATCGATGAAATGTATATTTACGTTTACTGTTCTTGTTTTCAATTATGACTTATGACATCGCTAATATAAAATTTATTTATTTTTATTTTCTGTTCAGTATAATTATATTTGATAGTTTATCAAATCATCAAATTGTACTTTGTTACCAAATTGAAGAGAATACAAGAAATGTTCAATTTTGAAAGACATATATATGTAATTAAACAATTAAATAAAACGATGTGCTGCTCGATAATTAGAAAAAAAGTGACATTTAGAAACAACTCTTCTAATTCTTCACTACTTAAAGCAGCTATAAATAAATTCATTAACTATTTTTTAAAGAATTATAAATTTTAAGTTTAATTATTTTCTAGACCTTTTAGACTGAATTATACGTAATTTTAGTCTTTCAACTTTTTTTAACTAAGTTTCCCTGGTTTAAAAAATAATTAAATTTATTCTATCAATTTTTTTAACCTTAAATCATAAGATTATTATATTCTATTTAAACATTTGAGAGTTTATGATTCATTTAAGATATGAAACAATTTAAAAGTGTAAAAGTAAAAAATATATTAAATTTTAAAAAGATATAGGATTAGGACCTGAGGAAGAAATTTTTTAATTTTTTATACTTTTAGCATAATTTATTATTTGGTTAATCATTTCTTTTTGTAAAAGACAATTTAATCAGATTAAACTACAATTTTTTTTAACAGAGATAAAAATTGGTAAACAAATTAACAAGAGACCAAATTTACTTAATTTTAAAATCAGAGAGATTTAATTGACTGTTTTTTTAAAATCAGAATTATACATAATATAAATAATAGACATAAAAATATAATTAAACTTAAATTTAAAAAATTAATTATAGTTTTCTATTATGGGGAATTTTGTGAACCATAACATGTACCTAATATAGGCGATAATATAATTGTACTGTATATATGCAAACTCAAGTGGATAAAAGTTGTCCCACTAACTTAATCTTAACAACGACAGAGCAACTATGAGCTATTACTTGTCAATTTTATGTAGTTGGACGCATAATAACATGGATGTCATATTCACACACCTATGCACATGAGAGGCTAATTTCCAATGTAATTAATTTGACATTGAATAAAAAACAAACTGCACTCGATTCTTCCGCATCAACAAACGATGCAGATGCAGATGCAGATGCAAATGATTAACAATTTTCTAGTCTACGCAACGCGAAATACGTGATCCATATTTTTGCCTTTCTTTATTGCAATCATCACCAGAGTGACGAGAAAATAAAATACTGGAAAATCGTACATCTGAAGTTTGAGTTACATCCAAGGTTGTGAAATTTGGATAAGAAAAAGAGAGATGACAAGCACTGACCAACGTGTCCAATGAATATACCAGATCTTAATCGAATCAAAAAGTAAAGTAAACACCGTGTAGAACATTCAACACCTCTCTCGCTGCACAACGTAGAACGTTCAACATCTTTCTCGCTGTGTCTCTCTTAAATGCTTTATTTGATATCGTATTCTAATTGATGATGTTAGTTCTCTGAACACAATTCAACGTTTGAGGTTAAGATAAAAATAATGATTGGACAAACATCCATAATTATATAAGAAAGGAAACATGCCGAAAACAAGGAAAACATTGCAGTAGAAAAAGGGTTTGCTATAATTCTCAACCTCAGATTCCTGCAATGGCACGTTCGTTCAAGTTTGTCCTTTTTGCAACGACGCGGCGCAGCATCATCACACTTGTTAATCCAATTATTGTATCCGTTGCAAATTACGAATAAGCCCTCCAAAATGCCTCAGGAATCTAATTATTCTAAAAAGGAACCAAACAAATCCTAAACATTTAGAGCTTGGTTGTATTTCAGTTATAACACAGTTTTGGCCTCAACTTAGAACAGAGTTTGATTCGTAGTATTTTTTTTTTCGCCTTTAATTGTTTTTTGTTAACATGCCTTAGAAATTGGAAACGGAAATTTAAATTCTGCTTCACGTTGTATCCAAGCTGGCCCTTATCTATATCCAAAAACAATTTTTTACCAAATCCACTTTCTTAATTCTTATCATAATTAAGTTTTCATGACATTTTTAATTTCTTTTATTATTGTACCTCATTTAAGTTATATTTTAAAACTAAAGTGATGTTTGATTTAAATAGTGTTTTTTATTATAAAAATATCATCTTGTTTTCATTTTAATTTTGGTTTTTTGAAGATTATATAGAAAATAAAATTTAAGAATAGAACTTAAAGTAAGGCAATGATTTTGCAATTCAAATTAAAATAAAATAAAAAATAGGAATAAAAATAATTTTGTAAACCAAACTGCTCATAATTTTAGTCTTTTTTTCTCTTTATTACTAATAATTTATATCTCCATTGCGATAACTAAACTTATTTTTCTTTATTTTTAACATAAAAAGTAATTTATTTAGATATCATCAAACTCAATTACAAAAAACTTAAAAAGACTAATTTATAATTGGAACAAGATCATGTATTATATTTTATACGTTGTTTGTCAATTAAAAATAATATTATTTTTTAACTAAAAATACATTTAATGTTATAATATATTATTAAAATAAAAAATAAATTTGATTGACACACAAAACCAACAGAACTAGAGAACTGCACTTAATTTTTATCCTTTTTTTATTTATTTACAATGACTTAACACGTCCAGCATTGGAATAATCCCGAAATATGAAAATTAAGAAAGGTATGTAGAGTTCTACTGAAAACAAAGTGTTTGACAATGATTAAAAATGTCCATTAGGACAAAGCGACAAGTAAACCCCACCAGTGCCCCCACAGGATAAGCCCAAAATATGAGCTTGCAACGTAGCTTCTCTATCACATTCGACTCATCACCGCTGTTCTCAACAGATTAGGATGTTTTGGGGTAGTGGGTTGGATCAAATTATTGCAAACCACTGACGTGGATCCATGCTGTATCATCCCAAGTTTCACCCAATGCTCCCATCTTAATCAACCAACAGGGTCACGCCACTCATATAATGCTACCAGAATTTACCCTCACATGTGCGCGGCGATTAGATATTGTCCCACCTCCACTTTTCGTATATATATAAAACCCCTTCATTCCCACACATACCATAATCCACATTTATGTTCCAATCCACACCAATATTAGTACTTAGTTACTTCTCAGCGTGAGTATAAAAACAAAGACCCCGTTGTTGTTGTTGTTATCATTAAAACTATGGGTGCAACTTCTATGGTTCGAGGAGGAGTCACCAGATTTCTACCAGGTTTTCGTAGGGAATCGGGGCGTCAAAGACTCGACTTTACATCGTACGTGGAACAACCTGAAACGGGTTTTGGTGATGTAGAGTTTGATTTTCTCGACGTTGGTGAGATGTCATTAGCTAAAAGTGGGAGTAGCGATGAGTTTCAATGGGATGAAATGGAGTTAGATGAAGATGATGGTGAGAGGGTTGACAGTGGTAGCGTTGAGGAGAATAGAAGCTTTTGGGAGAACCAACACCAAGTTTTGCAGGTAACATGGCACCACTTTGATTCATCCATTTTGTTTGATTAATTCTTTCCTCTTTTTTTTTCATTGCTGAATAGAATTTTAATATATGGAAAGGAAATCAATTAAGTTGCTACCTTTGTCTTTGTTCTACATGGATCAATGAAATTTTAACTTGAGATTTGCAAAATCAAAATATTCAAACGATGAACTGGTGTTTAGGAACCGTATCATTAGAAACAGGTTCAGTTTAGATATATATTTTTTCTCAAAAGCACTGGAAGAATAAAAAAAAAAACTCTTTTTTATAAATTAAAATTATATAAGTTAATTTTAACATATAAAAAATAATTTATTTTACTTTTTTTCTCTATAAATACTTATTCAAAAATTATCAAATTGGGTCAAATCTTATATCTAAAATTTCTCTTAAGAAACTAAAGCAAGTAATTCAAAATAAACAAAATCAGTTGATTAATTTAGATAAGTTTGACAAGTGTGATAAGCTTAGGTCAATTTTGTCATTTCTATTTTTTTAACCAGAAAGCTTAGTTGTCTTCTGAGTTTCTCTAGACATGTTGGTTTTGACCAAATTGGTTTTTACTTGGTGCAGACCAACCTATTTAGAACTAGTTCGTTGGAGTCAAGGATAAGGAATGCCACCAAAGAATCGATTCAGGATATACAAAACGCAGAAACAGTGTGCAGTTGTAGTACACAGGTGGCTGCCAGCTCCTGTCGAAACTGCTTGATGAGAGAAGTCTCTAGGCAGCTTCAGAAGGCTGGTTATAATAGCGCCATTTGCAAAACTAAATGGAAAAGCTCACCAAGTATTCCATCAGGTAAATACCATGTTGCAATATAAAAATAAAAATAGAAATCAAACTATTCAATTCCACAAATCATGACAAGGCATTCCAACCAAGAGTTATATTATTTACATCACTCATTTTATCATTTTTTCCCCTCTTCTTATTTAAACTATGTTATCCTTTCTCTCCAACAAATGTATCTTTTTCCTTTTTGACATTTGTAAAACTTTTCCTATTTATTTTCTTTTAAAAATAAAAAAGAGGACTTCTTAGTTGGTGTAATTATGACAAGAAAGAAACTGTACATTTTAAGTAAGTTATCTCATCTTTTTTTTTTTTACTTTTTTTTAATCTAGAAGTCCCTTTCAAACACTAGACTGTTTTCGCTTTCTCTGTAGCGTATTATTATAACAAATAATTAAGATCATTTGCCAAAGCAACTATAATTTATTAGGCTTTCGGTGTTTCTTTCAAGAGCAACTTGTCTCTTAATAAAAATTTAACCTGTTAGGTACAAAAAATTTCAAATTTAGTATCGTACAAGTTACAATAAAATAACTAGCTAATCAACCAAAGAAAAAATTAATTGAAAAGGTTAACAAAAAGCTAACCAAGTATTATGATAACTGTGCAGGGGAGCATACATTTTTGGATGTGATAGATAGTACAAGCAAGAAGCAAGACGTTAGGGTGATCATAGAAGTGAACTTCAAAGCAGAGTTTGAGATGGGAAGGGCAAGTGAGGACTATAACCGGCTTGTCCGAAGGCTCCCTGAGGTGTATGTGGGAAAAGTTGAGAGACTAAACAACATCATCAAGGTGTTGTGCATGGGAGCCAAAAGGTGCATGAAGGAAAACAAAATGCACATGGGGCCATGGAGGAAGCACAAGTACATGCAAGCTAAGTGGTTAGGTCCATGTAAAAGGAACACCTCAACAGCTTCCCTTTCAATGGGATATTCCGAGGTGATGCCAAAACCGAAGCCTAGGGCATCACTGTTAACTGTGGATATGCTAGAAAAGCTTCCCAATATGCACCGTACAGCTGTTGAAGTTTTGTAATTCTAATTAAGACAGAAAAAAAAATTACTTTTTTTTCTATATTTTTCCCCTTCGCTCTTTCCTTCTTATAAAGGAGTAGTGTGGATCAGATATATTTATATATATTCTTACAAAATTATGTAAAAATAATTTGTAGCAATAGGTGGCAATATTCAAACCCTCTCGGTTCCAAGACCCATTTAACATATATACACCTATTTTTGTTTATTGATATGTATCTTCACTTATACACTCGCCTTGGGTGAAACAAATGAAGTTTACATGCAATCGTACTTTGCTATGGACAAAATTTGAATACAGAAGTATGATAGTTTTTTTAATTAAAAATAAAACCACTTTAATAATGAATATTTATTAAAGTCGATATTAAAAGTTTATATTAATCTTTAAAATGAAACTTTGGTTTTATTTAGAAATACTAAAAGTATTTAAAATATTGAATTTAATATTTTTAATTTCTTTTGGTTATTTTCCCTCAGTGTGCCATAAATATAAAAAAAAAATATATTAAATAATGATTAAGTTATTTAAAATAGAATATGATAAGAAATATCCCTGATCCCAACATTAAATATTGTTTATTATGTATAGGAAGTTTGATATAAGATATTTTATAAAGGATCCTGTTACGATTAAGACTTGCAGGAAAGATATAAAAAAATTAATTTATAATTTCTTTTTGTTTTTTGGGGGAAACGAGGGGACTCATGGCTGCTTTATTCAAAATAATTTTATTTTATTTGTCTAATTTGAAAAATAACATATAAGTTTAAAAATATAATCAATACCTTTCTTTGTATTAAATTTATTTTAAACTTTTCAACATGACATCTAATATTATTTATCCCTTATTTATGATATGGATATAAAATATTTAAAACTTCAAGGATTTGGTTGAGTGCAAAAGGACACGGTCTCATATCTGATATAATTTGCAGGTTCGAACATCAATTGTCTTCTTGCAATAAGATAAATATAAATATTTTGTAAGTACTTTTTGACTTCGACGGCTCTCCTTCACTTGGAATACGACATCGTTAATTCCCTTTTCCTAAAAGATTTGCCATCTAAAGTATTTTTAAAATGATTAAAAATAAAAGAATAAGTTAAAAGATAATAGTTCATGTTGTTTTAAACTTTTAAATGAATAAATAAGTATAATAATTTTAAAAATAAACAACTAAAAATAATTCATGCTTATTTATTCATAAAATATAAAAAATGTTAGCAGCACAATGTTAATTATTAACTAAAATTTATTGATTAAAAATTAAGACAATTCTGTACGTGATGATTACTTCGTATGACCTCAATATACACTTGTGGTATAATATTAAACACAAAAAATGAGGAATGCAATGTGCGTGCAGAAAGCTAGGGTACACAATTGCAAATGCAAGAGCTTTGCCTTAAGGTTTAAAGCTAGCTAGCTCGACAGAAAGGCTTTAGAAGAGTGGAATTGCTTTTGTATTGAAGGATTGAAGGTAAATCACTGGGCAGTTTTAGTGAAAGGAGCTTTATAATATCGAAGATTCCAAGTGTGCTGAAGCAAGATTGGATTGTCCATATATATTTCACACATGTAAAGGTGGATAATGTCTGTGTTGACAACTAGAAAATAGACTTATTAGATAAATAAATTTAGTTATTGTCTCAAGGTAAAATGAGTTATCAATTAAGTAATACACAAGGGAATTAGTGTGCTTAAATCATTAGACATATTTTTTAAAAAATTAACGATTTAGATTATTTATCTTATTTTAATAATACTAGTTTTCATAAATTTATAATTTAATTCTTTATAAAAATTTGTAAACTTGCATTTTGAACATTTAAAAGTTGTTATTTTAAATCTTTATAAGATTGAATTGATAGTCATTTTTTATCTTTCTCATGCAAATTATGTATACATTTTATGTGTGAGTGGTGATTTTGAGAATTAAAACTTTTATGTATGTAATAATCAAAATGTCATTTTAAATTTTTAGAGTTTAATGCAAAACTCCTATGCATTTAGTTAATGATTTTTAATATTAAAACTTTGAAACTTTTATGTGAAATTTCACAATTTTGATTTATCATATAAATTAGCTTTTGTATTGATGAAATATTTAATGTCATTTTAGATTTTTCTCTTAACGTTAACCAAGCATAACGTTTACAAAATTTTGACTTAAATAGTAGTTGTAAGAAAAAATTGCTTGCTAGAAGAATATTGTTTAAGTAGTATTAAAAGTAATTTAAAAATACATTTTGTGTTTAAGTGAATAAATATTAGCTTAAATGAAATTAATTCAACTTAAGCAAATTATATTAAAAAAAGAATCCTTGTATTTTTAGCTTAAATAAAAAAAATAACTTAAGTTAAAAATAATAAAATTTGTATGGTCATCAATATAATATATACATTATTTATTTTATATTATGCAGTAAATAGTTTCAAAATAGTCTGTATCGGTAATTTATTAATATATTTTTGTCTATAATAATTAAAAAGTCTAATATTATAAAGAGTGATGTGAAATCAACATGGATGGTGAGGAAATTACTATAATTTGTTCGTGGGATTAAAGAAAGAAAAGGACGTTACTGTAAAGAAATTATGGAGCATATGCAGAAAGGAAGAAGGGTAATTTTATGTTAAAAGAAACCCCCCAAAATGATATTATTCATACTGTGGATATCTTCTGCCAATTGCCAAACCTTCTCAGCTGATAGTAGAAAACGTTGACCCTTAAAAAAAGCTGCTCTGTACGGATATTTCAGCAATTGGGCTTATTCTTTTCTGCTTATGAGGCCCAATTACACCACTTCTTCACCTCATTTTGGACTCGTCCAAGTTGTGGGCTTTAAAAAACAAATGTTATGCTTTGCTTATGAACCAAAAATCGCTCTCGTCAGATTAAAGATGCACGACCTCAAAAAATAATTCCTATGAAATTCTTTGTAACTGCAATATATGACAAAAGAAAAAAGAAAAAGAAAAAGAAAAATACACTGTGAGCCAAATTTTCAAATGACTAAAATCATACAACAAACTAAATCGGGGAATGTGAAATTAATCAGGTTAATTTTAAACATTTTTCATCATTTATTTTCAACATATATTTTACACTTGATTATTAAATAACATCTATTATAATTCACAAAATTATGCGAGTCCTTCTTTTTATTTACTGAGTCTCGTTTATAATCTTCATGATTTATAATAATTTCCAACTAATAATAACTAATGTGTCATAAAAAGTATGTAAATATATTAGTATCCGTAAAAAATATTATTAGTAGTCCTTGATGATGAATTTCAAGTAGTGATTTATTGATAGAAGAAAACCATACACGTGATTGGCAATAACATCCAAAATTGCTTGGGTGGTTTGAAAAAGAAATATAGCCAACATTATTATTTCGTTTGACTGATTCTTATACTTTGTTTAGGATGGCAAAAACTCAATAAAAAACAGTGATTTCGACTCCAACGACCATAAGAAAAAGAGTTGTTGCCTAGTCTTGATATTTACATGTTTATTAGTTTATTCTCCAAATGGTTAATTCACTTTCTGTGACATGTTTATAAGAATACATTTCAGTAAGAACTAATAAATAAAATGTTCTATTAGTATTAAAATATATAAAAATATTATAAGTTGAATAATTGTACTTTTGTCTCACTCTATTAATGTTCTCTTATACAAATTAATAAAATTACAAAAATATAATGATAAAATTTGTAATGGACAATTTAAGAAGGTCCAATGTTGTACGTGAATGTCTCTAGGACGTAACTCAACGCTCTATATACATCTGTCACAAAAGATCATAATTAATACTTTCGCTTATGAACTTAAAATCTTCCACAATTATGTTACATTGATATATCTTGCAGCTTTGTTCTCATATTTTTCCTACAATTATATAATTAATAACATGTTATTTAATGAAATACGCAATTTGAATATTAGAATACTTTTACCCTTCTACTATTATCAAACTAACAAATACAAATGTAATAGCGACTATTCTTTAAAGCACGTTGGGCTCACCTTATTTGGATTCACTGAAAAAAAAAATCTACGTCAATTGTCAACTAATTAAATACATGATAAATATATATATATATATATATATATATGACATTCAAATTAATTATTATGAAAATTTATAATTTTTATTAATATAATAATTTATGGTCAAATGATAATAATAAAAATCCGTTCAATAAGAATAATTTTTTAATAATAATTCAATAAGAAGGATATAAGAGATTCATATAAATTTTACAGGACATAACAAGTACGGAATTGTATTATGTTCCTATTATTTAAAATAACATAAGAGGGCATTAACGAAGTAACAAATATTTAATAACACGTGGAAAGAAAACAAGTTAATTTAAATTTAGAAAAAAGAAAAGGGTACAATTGTATAGATTCGTACCTCTCCGGTGCGGAACCGAGTCCCAAAGGCCAATTGGCGTAACTTCAAGAACCGTATCGTACCTATGCTTCGAACCGTACCTAACCCAATTGGCGTAGCTTCGTTCAATTAACCAAACATAAATAAAAATCGCATCCGTACCTCATTCTCTCTGATAGTGACACTTGGATTCCTCTCTATCTCTCTCTCACACATTCAACAAACAACAAAAACACAGAACCAAAAACGAAACCCAAACTACGAATTCTGTCTCTCTCCCGACATTATTGTCTTCTTTTCCACCGTAGATTTTTCTTAATTCTCAGTTGTCGTTTTATTCATTAGCTTTTAAATTATAATAACAAATATGTAAATAATATTTTTACGGTATTATATAAATTAATGCGCATACGCAGGTTAGCTAAATCATTACTCTGTTCAATAAATTAATATTGAAATAACTAATATATTACACATTAAGGAGTGTGGTGTAATATCATTATCATATTACTTTTACGTATATATAAAGTACATGTAAGAATCTCTTATATTTAAAATCTACCAAATAGAATTAATAATGATAATGATAATAATAAATATTTAATATCGACTAACTAAGAAAGCAATAAAGTGAGGTATTAACTCTCTTGCACGTAACAATGAGCACATCCATCCCCCACTGTACCCTACCTGGCTACCCCTCGCCCCACCAAAGCACAAACTTCATCATCGTTTCAATTCCAAAACGACGTGTCCATATTGGAGAATCCACGGTCACTGTTTCCTGCGTATGAGATACGAAGTGTTTCACATTCATCTTGACCATTCCAAATTTGTACAATTTTTTTTTCAAAGTAATCCTATTAAAAATTTATTAATTAATATCTTCAAATATTAATTAAAGAATTAATAAATAATTTTTTTTATCTAAATTATAACATGTTTTACATAAATAATTATATTTTAATTTTTTTAAATAGCTGATACTGTTAGCATTTTAAAAAAATTAATAGAAGAGTTCCCTCTCCATTTCTCTCCCTCCGTGGAAAATGGAATTAGGTGCAGGAATTTTTTGTCCTTGCCAGCATATTAGAAGCTCATACAGGGAAAACATAAATAACCCTTTATAACACGCAGATTTGATATATATCTACTTTGCTGAAGGTCTTGTAATTCTAGAGGTAATTCTTTTTTTTTTAAAGTATTTTACTCACACTCTTTTCTTCTTTGTATTTGCAGATTCTTTTCCTTTCTTATTATTTATTTCTAATAAACCATTTTTCTTTTTGTGATGTAAGTTGTTTTGTTTCTTCATCTGGGTCTTCTATACATATAATAATTTAACGGGCTTGTCATTCTTTAAAATAATGGTGATTATTGTTGTTGATTTGTGTAGTCAATGGAGGATGTAATGATGGCTGTTTCTGCATTATCAACTTAAATAATTACTACTAATAATAAACAATAATAATAATTTTTTAATTAACGATTTCTGGTTATTTGAATTAAAGTGAATATTTTGTTAGCTAGATTGGTTTATTCTGGTTTCTGTGTGGGATTTCCAGGCATTTACGGAAGGTGGAGTTTGACTTTTTTGGAAAAAAGTTGTCAGCTGTGGAGGTTACGGAAGGTCAAGTTTTTGAATGATTAGAGTTTCTGTTACCTCTACAACACTGCATGTTTGTTGTAGGCTTTTAATTGAGACTTTCTCTTGGGGTTTCCATCACCGAATGGAATTGGATCTTTCATCTCAGATCAACTCACTCTTGCTGGGTTTTGATTGGTTTGAGTGGTTTTCTAATTCTATGTGGGAAAAGTTTGATTTTTCTTGATTCAACCCTTCAATTGTTGTTGATGGGTCTGAGGAAATCTAGTTCCTGTGGTTCTGTGATTAGTCTGAGAAGGTTGTTTGGGGACCACCCTTTTGGATTTGAGGCTTGTTCTCAGATAGGTAGTGGATAAAGTGATTTTGTAAGTGCAAGGTGTTTCTAGTTTTCTTCTGAAGGTTTTGGGGAATAACATGGATGAGGATAGCAGCAATTCTTGGATAAGGAGGGCTAAATTCTCCCACACAGTGTGTCACAGATTGGACTACTCAAGTTCCAGGTTAGGCTCTTTCAGCATTCAGCCAAGGGTTGAGCACAAATCTGGTCTGAAATCAAGGCCAGGAAAAACAGCTCCTGTATCTCAGGCTTCACAGGTTCAGAAAAATCCCATAACAAACAAGCAGAGAGCTTTGTCCCCTTTGCCTGAAAGCTTTATCTCTGATACCTTTAAGGAAGCCAGGCATGAACAGAAGAGGTTCTCAACACCAGGTCCACGGAGGAAAGAGCAAGATAAGAGAATCATGGGAAAGTTACTGAACAAGGATTCTCAAGTGTCCAATTCTAAATCCCCTTATAACAGTCCAATTAGCCACTTGGTATCAATGAAATTAAGCGACAAGTCGAAGCAGCGTAAGGAATCTGGATGGACAAAGTATTTTGACCATGGTGGAGGAAAGGTTACTGCTGTGGAAACTGCTGAGGAATGGAATGTTGACCTCTCTAAGCTCTTTGTTGGTGTTAGGTTTGCTCATGGGGCTCACAGTAGGCTTTACCATGGCATGTATAAGGATGACCCTGTTGCTGTGAAAATTATCAGGGTACCAGATGATGATGAAACCGGATCATTGGCTGCTCGGTTAGAGAAACAATTCATTAGAGAAGTCACACTTTTATCTCGTCTCCACCATCAAAATGTTATAAAGGTAATCAAATCCAATCTTTTACCTTCTATTGTGTGTGCTGTTTTCCAGACCTTTATTTGCTCGTTGAGAGAACTTGTTGATTTTACATGCTTGTGGTGCTGTTGATTTCTGATAAAACAAGGTATGTGTATTATTTTTCACATCTTAACTACAATTTTAAAAAGGTAAGGTGGCAAATACATAGTAAAACATATCATATTTTTAGTGAAGAACAACACTGCAAGCACCTACAGAACTTTGTCTAAGTTTTGTCCCTTGATTTTGTGTGGGATATTATCTGTTATTCTTGTCAAATACAAAGTGGGTGTAAGGTGTATCCATGGTTTTGTGCTAATTACTGGACTTGACTCTAGTTATGTTGAAATATCACCTGTAAAAGTTAAGGATAATGCGTTGTACATTCTTTCTCTTATATTATGGTCTGATTGAGCAGTTCATATCATGTTGATAGAATTTAATGTAATTACGAGGCTGATCCTTTATACACGTTTTCTCATATATCTTAATCTGATTACACAGTTCGTAGCAGCTTGCAGAGAGCCGCCTGTTTACTGTGTTGTCACAGAATATCTGTCAGAAGGTTCCTTGAGGGCATATTTACATAAGTTGGAGAGAAAAACCATTCCTTTACAGAAGCTGATTGCTTTTTCTCTTGACATTGCCCGTGGAATGGAATATATTCACTCTCAAGGTGTTATTCACCGAGACCTTAAACCAGAGAATATCCTCATTAATGGGGACTTTCACCTTAAAATTGCTGATTTTGGCATTGCTTGTGAGGAAGCATACTGCGACTTGTTTGCTGATGATCCTGGTACCTATCGTTGGATGGCACCCGAGATGATCAAACGAAAATCCTATGGGAGAAAGGTTGATGTATATAGTTTTGGGCTTATCTTATGGGAAATGGTGACTGGAACGATACCATACGAGGATATGACCCCCATCCAGGCTGCTTTTGCAGTGGTAAATAAGGTATGTTCCTTTGCAATAAATCATTTGGATCAGTTTTGTAGATATCACAATCTATAAATATTTATGATATCATTCTTCATTTGTGAAGTTATGTGCTGCTTTCGTCACTCTGCATTGAAATCCTCTCAAATAATAGGGAAATGTCCCCAACCCATTTATCCACCCAAATCTCACTTCTTCTGTGATTTCTTATTTTTTTTAGTTGGTGATTTTTTTGGACCTCTCTGAATGACAAGCATATAAGAGTAATGAAAACTGGACTAGTGTTCAATTAATGATACACTTTGCTTGCAGCTAGGCAATGCATGCTCCCTTAACTAAAAGGTTTTGCAATTTTTGAATGTATTTTATGAAGGTGAGTAGGTGACCATTACTCTCAGATGTAGCAGGCTACCATGCCTTGTTCTCCTATTGGAAAAATCTAATACCTTCAAAGTTTTATGTTGTAAATGAAAGGACATCTTTTCCTTTCTGCAAAGCTTGCTCCACTTTACTAATTTCACAAATTATAACTACTCTTTCCAAATTTCATCCATTTTTGCTTTCTTTATTGATTCTTTTTTATTTCAATATGTTGACTGATGATTGCAAGAGGTGCCATAATTTTCCTGGCTGTACACTTTTAGAGGAAATCAATCATATTGTCACTGAATAAAACGCTAATAAGTTTATAGCCCTCTGATACCCATTGAAGTACTCTATATTTTGAGATAGAACTTATATCCTTGGTGAGGTACCTCCTTTGCTCTGAAAACAAAGGTGGAGTATTAGAGATTATAGTCATCCATTCTTTACATTTATGACTAACTGATTAAAAAAAATGGTGTATACATTTCTACAAATGGTTGTTTTTTTAAAACTAATTTGCATTAGTTTATATGAAATTATTAAATATGCCTCTGATTCGTTGAGTGATGTAGCATGGTAGTTGATAAGATTACCAAGAATGGAACTTATTGAATTCTTGGGATCATAAAATATTGGGTAATGGTGGGAAATATTTTGCTATTCGAAACTCAAATGACATGCAATTCTAATGCTTTTGTCATGTGGTATTCAGAATTTAAGGCCAGTTATTCCTTCAAACTGTCAACCTGCTATGCGAGCTTTAATTGAACAATGCTGGTCCTTGCATCCGGACAAGAGGCCTGAGTTCTGGCAGGTTGTTAAGGTATTAGAGCAATTTGAATCTTCGCTTGCTCGTGATGGAACGCTGGTTCTGGTGCAAAACCCTTGTTGCCAAGATCATAAGAAAGGGCTTCTCCATTGGATTCAAAAGCTTGGTCCTATGCATCATAATAATGGTCCTGTGCCTAAACCCAAATTTACATGAATCTTCAAAGTGGCCTGGCTTTTGTAGTACACCAGGTTCATTGTAATTAATATTGAATGGTTTGGAAAACCCAAAAGAAAAACCAAAGGTTTGTTTTTTGAGGTTCTCTGGGTGTAGTCATCTTTATAATGTTAATTGTGAGAGTGAATTGATTGGTAGGCCTGTACATTGAGGTGAAAGCATCTTTTATTTTTACTGTTGTGTATACCAACAATTATAATTAAGTAATTTCACTAGGTTAAGAGTAGTTTATTTTTTGAGGGATCGCAATTTCCTGTTTATTTGTAAGGTATTGTATTTTTAGTTTCTTTATTGTCATAGTTTTGATTTTATTTTGTGTCGTTTTTTTTAACTGATGCAATGAACCCTGCATACCTGACCGGTGAGAGTTAGTTCATAATTGCATATTTTGCTTTCTTTGTAGTCCTGTTTTATTCTTCCATTACGAAATTGAAGTACTATCTTCAGAAGACTGCCTTAGACACAATCAGAATGGTGGAATCAACTTTGGATATAAAATTTGATGACTAACACTTGACAGTTGAATCAATTATTCAATTTATTATATGTTTAAAAACACTTTGAACGTATAAATTATAAATAGTAGCGTTAAAGTAAATGTGAATTTATAATCATTCAAATGTGAAACTAAATTTGCATTTAATGATACGAATGACATGGCTAGCTAGATTCAATTGAAGGGAAGACATGATGGTGGGTTAAATAATCATACAAGATATTTGTTGAGACTCAAGGGTATTAAAGTAATTTAGAGGATTTATGCAGCTGATATGGATTAACACTAACTGTTGATTTTTCCTCCATATCTGAATCTCTCAGTATTCAGTAACTTACTGCACAGGTAGGTTTCGGCATGCATGTGACATTAAAGTTGGTGTTATGGGGTTTTGCTTTTGGGGGTTATGCAACATACTCTGCTTTCTACTATTTGTGACTTTAACCAACTACTTGTGCAATATGTTATTCTTTCATTTAAAGATTAAAAATAAAAATAAATATTATTTGGTTGCTGTTTGTTGAGCACTGTAAATGAGTCACATTCATGACACTTTTCCCATAAATGAGGTTGTAGGAGCAGTTTTATTGTGTTGTCAAGTTATTGCGTTTTAGCACTTTTACATACACGAGTTAACTATGTTCAATGAATCTGAAATACTGCATGTGACTTGCTAAATTCTATTGGATCAGTTGTTCATGTTATGCCCTTTGATTTATAACTTTCTTATAGAAAATGAGTGTTATTTCTTTAAGGTAAAGAAAGCCTACGCTTGTTTGTATAGGGGCTATGTAACAACCTGACTAAGCATGCTAGCTGTAAATTTAAATTAAATGTTGCTGATTTAATTTAACAATATGGTATGTCAATGTCATGGCGTCACATTTGACTATTCTTTTGTTTTGTCGAAATGCAATGTTTTTGCTGACCTATGCCGTCGGTTAGTGGCCTTGCATTTGCAAGCATTATCATAAATAAAACGTTTTATATTTTGGGTCATGATATACTTTTTGTTATATTGGGCTTTCTCTGCTCAAACGGAATAGTACTACTTAGTTTTTGGGCTCTTTTCTGCAACAACAAGCACTGCTGATGGAGTTCTCATGATGTTTGTTTGTTGGGTAGAGCTAGAAAAGGTAGTACGTTTGACCAAAACAAGAAAAAGGGCTCCCAAACGATGAGTGACTCCCTGTAAAATTGAGATGCTATAACTTATTATTATTATTCAAACTTCAAGGAGTTAAATAAATAAAAAACATGGGAGTTAAAAGTATTTTTTTTATAAGATTTAAATAAAATCTCGTAAAAATATAATGATTAAAAATATATTTAAATTTAATATATTTTACTGACAAACACATTAATACGTTGATATACAAAATTGATATATTATTAGCAAATGAAATATGAGGATCGACTATATATATTAAGGTTTTTTTAGTTAACATGGTTTATTTTACTCTCTTGTATTAGGTTAGTATTAGTTAGTGATCTCGAGAGAACATTTTCTTTTGTCATGAACTGTTAGCATTAGTTTTATATTTTGTTTTTGTAAACTAAAGAAACAGAGAGTTTAGTGGCAAGAGAATTGTAAAGAGGTCAACTTTATTCAAATATACATGAGTTATTGCAAATGCAACGTAGTAATCTCATGTCGTTATGAATGAATTATCTTTTTTATAGAGGTAAATTTTTGCTTGCTAAACAAAATGATAACAAGTTACAAATTCTGTATCAAAATATAGATATTTGGTAAATAAGCTCATCTTATAAGTTAGTTAATTTGACCAAAATAATGTTAATTGTCAAACTAAAATTAATTAGTTAATTATGTTGAAATTGTTTTTTCTATTATATTCTTTTATGTGAGCTCCTCCTTACTTATGTCTCTCTCTCTCATGCTTGTTTCTTTACTCTAATATGATATCAAATTAGCAAATACTTTGACTATCTTCTTTCTGTTTTCTTCTCATCTTCTTTAACTATTTTTCATTTTTGCTATGGCAAATTTCAATTTGACCCAAGATCTTTCTAACATATACTATACTCATTTGAAGAAAAGCCTTCTTTGGTGTCGGTTTCACCCGTTCTTGAAAGTTTCAGTTATCGAAGTTGAGCTAGTTACTGAGATAGCTGTAGGGCGGCTTTAGGATTTTTTGCCTAAAGCAAACCTTAAAATGATGTTTTTTTTATTAATAAAATAATTTATTAAAGTTATTTTATTTTTATTTAAAATTTATTTTTTAAATTTTTTTATGATACAAAATTATTTATAAAATTATCGTAATTAATTTTTAATATATAATAAAGTTAATTTATTTAATCTTTGTTGAAATATTATTGATCTTAAATAAATTTTATTAATTTTAGCTTTTGACAAATTTTAGCTAAAATAATCGATAGTATAATCATTAATATTATTTTATAAGTTATATATGTATTTAGAAAAAAAAATTATATAATTAAAAAGTCAATTTATATAATTAAAATTTAAATTGAAATAAAAAAATCTTAAAATATAATGAGAAAAAAATAATTTATAAAATTGCACTTGTTTAACGTAACTCCTTTGTGGCTCTTCTTCTCTTATCTTCATGGCTTTTTCTCTTGTCAACAGAGCCCATATAAACATTTTGGGTCAGTCAATTTTCCTTTTAACTCTTTAGTTTGCATTGGGTGGGGATGAACCTGAAGAGAAGCTTCAAAAACAAAAAGGAGATTCATGTAAAAGAGTAAATTGAAAAATTCAAACAAATGTTACACCCTCTATTTGAAGGAATTTTAACAAGAGGAAAAGAGGATAACTTATTATATTTTATTTTATTTTTTATATTCGTTAATTAATAGTATATAATACTTTTCTCCAGGTGAGTTATCTTATTCAACCATTAAAGTGTTAAGTATTATTAGAATATGATAATTTTTTTTCTATAACATTCTCACTCATACTTTATAACTTTTTGTAATATTTTATAAAATATAATTTTAATATTTTTATAAAAAATTATATGAACATTTTTAATAAATTTTTTTAATCATTTTATAAAATGTAGTTAAAAATTCTCATAATTTTTTGTTCTAATTATAATTTATTTCCTAAAAATAAATTTTAGTTGTGAAAAACTGAATAAAATTATTATAATTTAATATCAAATTTTAATATTATATATGTAACTTTTAAAAAAATTGTATATATATATATATATTAAAAAAATTTAAATTATATTAATTTGATAAAAGAATAAATTTATTTAAATATAATTTATAAACTATTATTTTTTATTTATATAAACATTAAAAATAATGACATAATATTATCTATTTTACTATCTTAATATACATCAATCAAACATAGGATATGAGAAAAGCTTGTCCTTCTTTTATTGTATCCTATCTATCCATCTCTTTATCTTATTATTTCCTTATCATATCATATATGTTCACCAAAAAAATCCTTAAACTTTAATTCATACACCCATTCAAGAGGACAATCAAAGACTTTAAGTGTTTACCCCTAAGTAAATACTTTTTAAATTAAGTTTATCCTTGTTGATTTTTAAATTTCATCACGTTGTAATTAGTCTTTTTAAACATTAATTTTATTTTAATTGATCTTTGAACATTATTAATTTTATCAATTCTTAAACTTTACATCTTTTGCAAATAGCTCATTCTATTAATTAAGTTGTAAGTTGAATTTTAATGGAAGAAAACAACCATTTATATAGTTAATTTTTTTATTATTTTCTCTTCAATCTTTTTCTTGAATCTAAAATATTCTTATGTCGTGGTGTTTAAAAAATTAATTTTAACAAAAAAAGAATGCTAATAAACAATTGATACTTGAAATAAAATTTGTACAAATTACTAGGGATGTTTTCATCGCAATTGTTAGTGGATAAACAGAATCACTTAACATGATTGAAATTATATTTAGATCATGTTTGGATAAACTTCTATATAAATTTTTATAGTAGAAAAAAATAGTATAAATAATAAATAAAACATTTTTTATAAATTAAAAATGATTTTATGAGAGAATTTCTTAAAACTTTTTAAAAAATATACAAGAATAAATTATTTTTAACTTATGAGAGAAATTTTATTTAATTTTTATACTAATATTTTCTTCTATAAAGTCTTCTACTGAGATTTACTCAAACATATCCTTAAACATGATTTAAAACTATGTTGCAGAAACTATAATGAGCAGTGATAAAATAAATGTGGTTTTGAAATATGAAAAAATGAATCTTAACACTGACTCACAACTTGAATTGGTGGTGATGGCGAGTCCCTACCATGCTTGCTTTAGTTACTTCATTAAAAGAATCAATTATCCAATAGCCGAAGTCTCTGGTTTGAAACCTACATGATCAATGACCATTCATTTATAAAATTATAATTTATTATATTATTTATGAGTATAATTTTTATTTATATTTAAAAAAAATATTACACGTTCAACTAAAGTAATGAAGTATTTATTAGATTTATTTGTATATAAATTATTATTTTATTTGATAAAAACATTTAATCAACTGTTGTATTGGTATATGTATTTATTATTTATATATATGTAATGTATGATGTGAGATGAGTCTTTTTATACATGAATTATTAAGGTTAAAGATTTGGGAAATTACAAAAATACTTGAAAAAGTCATGAGATTTTAAAATATTTAATTAATTTGTTATAGTTTAAGTCAATTTTAAAAATTGTTTTTAAGAAAAAATAAAAAAATTCTGTTAACAACTAAATTTTATTTTTTTATTTTTAAAAAGAAAAAATGGTTTTTAAAATATAATTCAAACAGTAGCTTATTTGTTTTCTTTATAATAGTTTCTTTCCATTTTTCATTTAATCCTTCTAGTTTAAAATATATTAAATCCTTATCATTTTTAAAAATTAATTAAATCATTAAAAATCAATGTCATTATACCTCTATTAAATATCAATGATATGCTTTTTTTTATTTATTAACCTATTTTTTCATTTTCAATTCTCTTTTTTATAATTATTTAAGTAAATTTCTCTAAATTCTTAAATCTTTTTATTGCTAGGTGATAAATTCAACACTAAATTGGAACCCTGTATTTCAAACTATATTTATGTTAACATATTTAATATGAAATAACTAAAATAATTTAAATTAAAAAATCATGAACAAAAAAAGAGGTTTTAAGTCACCCTTAAAATCTTGAAGACTTTTTAAAATTACTCCAACACAATGTTGAGATTTAAAGTCTTACTTATTTCGCTATGAATTCAAATTTTTAGATCAATTTAAAGAAAGATTTTATTATCATAAAATAGTAAAAAAAATCAATAGAAAATTTACTTTAAATTTATTTCTATCAGAATACAGAATTAAAATATACTAACAATAATATAACGTCATATATCACTAAATAATAATAGAATTTAGAAATTTAAAGAAAAGTATTTATAAAACATGACTATTAAAAAAAATTT